TTATAAATAAAAAATCTGTGTCAATCAGCAACAAGGGAATACTTTATTCACTAGCAGTTAATTGCAGTGACTCCATGTGTTTCAGTGATTGTTAAATCACTTATTTCTAAGTATAAAGTCCTTTTTTTATGAGGTTGATTTGTCTCTATGATATGTATGTACTCCTGTATTTGTAACCACAAGAGCTCAAAATGGGATATTTTAAGAAGACATTACAATAGCTTGGATGTAGCTCGATGCAGATGTTTATGAAGCTCTGGCTTTAATTATATGTAGTAATTCATTAACCATTAGGATCCTTTGAATTTTCTTGTAATTTATTAAAAGTTTTGGATCACATCCAAACTGTAAAAAGAGTTAGTTCTATTGTGATTTTCTCTATTCTTCCAGCACATTCCTACAGGGATGTTCCTTGGTGAAAGATGAAATCTCTGTTCTGAGGATTGGTGAGCTGGTGAGTTGCTATGTGCCTTGTCAAGAAAAACTAGAACTGGTTTTAGTGGAAGCCAGAGAAGAGAACTTGCTGGTTTTAGACAGCCATGGTTAATTGGGATACATGAGTGAATGTTTGTGTGCTCTGCTGTTATCAAAGAACAGTTACAGGCTCATAGACTCATGGAATCATAGAACAGTTTGGGCTGGAAAAGGACCTTAAAGACCATTTCATTCCAATCCCCTGCCTTGTGCAGGGGCACCTTCCATTATCCCAGCTTGCTCCAAGCTCTGTCCAACCTGGTCTTGAACACTTCCAGAGATGGGGCAGCCACAGCTTTTCTGGGCAACCTGTGCCAGGGCCTCACCACCCTCACAGTAAAGAATTTCTTCCTAAGAGGAGAATTTTCTAGTTTAAACCCATTCTGTCTTGTCCTCTCACTTTGTGCCCCTGTGAAATGCCCCTCTCTGGACTTCTTGTAAAGCCCCTTTATGTACTGGAGGCTGTATTTTCCTACTTCTGGATGGGGTGGAAGCTCCTATGCCATCTGTGCTTTTGTGAATTGCTCCATCAGCTGCGTTGGTTTCAAAAAGGAAGGGCTGTAGCTCCATGAGAGTAATAAAGAAGGATGTTTAGATTTAAAGTTCCTGTAAAATGTGATATTCTGTATGAAGCTGTTATGTTTCTCTTTCCTCCATATGTGTTAGGATTTAGAACTGACTGTTAGATGGGAACTGATCAACAGTTTCCTGGAGAGGCAATGGTTCAAATGATTCTTGGGAGCTGACATTACTGGGGGGATAAAGTTACAGTCAGGATTAAGCATTGTGTTTGGTGAGTAGTGTAAAATAATTGCTGGTGACTGATAGCAGGCAAACCCCACACTTTGGAAAAATAAATTGTAAGTGGTGTTTGAAGGGAACATTTCCTTCTTTTTTGAGGGAAAAATGATCTATCATTTCATGATGCACTTCTTTTGGTTGTTTATTCTGTCTCCAGAGTGTAAATCCCTGCTTTGGTGGTGACACTGTTTTTTTTGAATTGAGGAGATGTTTAACTCTGTCGCTCTATACATTGATTTAACTTGGGAGTATGAAAGCCCACCATCAAAGATTCCACATCCTTGACACAATCCTTAAGAAAAGAGAAGTGTTAACATTCCCAAAAACATTTTGAGATTATTTTTGTTATCCCAGGTTTTCAAAACATGAAGCATTTCAAAAAGGTTTAATGGGCTTAATTATTTAGATTTCTTTGTTGCTTTTTACATGTTTTCAAATGAAATTAATATTTTTTTAAGAAAAGCTCAAAAAAAAAAAGCTCATTACCACCTGCTCTAACATTGTCTTACCCTGGTATACAAGTGCCATTAAAGTCCTCGATCACCTGCCATTGGCTTCATGTTTAAGTAGTTCATTCAGCAAAGAGAGTCCCAGTAGTTCCCTCCCTGGTACCACATGTAAGGGTATAAAAGCTTACTTGGAGACTTGTTATTGAAAATTCAGCAAGTGTCCTGAAAAGAATTCAGATTTTGGGTTACTGAACAATGAATCAATGGGTAATGAAATGCCAACACTTTCAAAAGAACTACCAGTGAATTAGTACAAATCTGACACACCTAAAGAGAAAAAAAAATAAAAAATTCTCTACAGCCTCTTCCTTTTGCACTTTGAAGAACATCATCTCCTCCATGCCCATGCCCATGCCTAATCCAGTCTCTTCTCTCTGACAGTGGTAGTGCCAGATGTTTCATTGTGCTTTGTGTATTATGAGTCAATCACCATCAAAGCATTCAATTCCATCAATATCTTGAGCTTGAGTGAACTCAAGTTATTTTGAGATTGCTGATGGAAGATGAGAGGAAGGAGCTGTTTCAACAAGTGATCTGCACTAATTGCAGGGGCTGAAACCCTCCTGATTCTGAATTGGCAATATGAAAGGCATGCTGTAGGAGGCTGTTCTGACAGAATAGTTGAATATTCAGAGGAGACAGCAGAGTCCTGACTGCACTTTGGTTGTATTTCTCTGGCTCCTTAATAGGGTGGCCTCGGGGAAAAGTCCTAATGCACTGGACTAACAGCATGGAAATGCATTTCAATATTTTGTGCTGTATTCTGATTCTGTTTGTGGTTTGCTTGCCCTGATGGCCATCCTGCATAGTTGCCCTACTTTTGAGGGAGAGAGCTGAACAAATTCCAGGACTAGGTGTGCAGCACCCCCAGGGCATGTATTCTACCAGCTGGGAGAGCAGGTCCACCCCAGTAGTTAATTTTGTCCCAGAGTGCCTCCTTGAACAAGTGAAGTAAAGGCACTAAATTAAGTTGTGTTTTTTGCTGATCTGATGCAGCCCTGTCACTCACTCTGATAACTGAGGCTATGTCTCAGCTTTTTTCTTATGAGCAAAAGCTGCCCTTGGGACTTGGAAATTAATATGCTGATTTGAGTAAATATTTATTTGGCACACACCTCGAGGCACTGCAGCAACGGAACTGTTAAGTAAGAACTACAGGCTAAAATTTAGAGAAATCAGAGAATCCAGCCCCCACAGTGGCAGCTGAGCAATGAGGCTAAATTACTGTGTGTAATTAGTAATTTTTCTCTAAAAACAGTAATTGTAGTTGTTTTAAACACCTTGAAATTTGTTGAGGCTGGTGGTCTTTCACAGCACTCCTGAGCTAGGTTTTGGTGTTGGCATGGAAGAAGAGCTATTCCCAGTAAAAGGTCTGCATGTGGGAAGTAAAAAATTAGGAAAGTGGGATTTAATTATTGTTTTAAAGTACCTAAAGGTAGAGACAAAATGGAAGCAGTCTTCTCTCTGAAAGGTTTCACTGTGACAGCTGTTAGGCTTTGGCACAGGGTGCTCAGAGAGGTTGTGGAAGCTCCACCCTTGGGTGCAGAACTGGGAAAGCTGGACTAAATTGGCCCTGCTTGGAACAGAAGGCTGGACTAGATTGTCTTGCAAAGGTAAGAACCTAAGTCATTCTGTGATTATGGGTCACCAAGAGAATAGTCTTTTTTTTTGAAAAAACAAGTTTTATCTTCCCTCTTAGGAATTTGTCCAGGGATTGTTTCTTTTAATTGCTCTGTCTTTTTTTTTCTACTGTATCTCTTAAGAGTATAGCAGCAGCCATCCCACCATGTCCTCTCTCTGTCTTCCTCCACAGAGGAAGAGGAATATAGGGACAGGCATTGTGGGGTGGCTGCTTGTAGGCTTGTGTTGGTGGCAGTACTGGGAAGGGGACTTTCAAACCCATTGCTGAGAGGTCTGTGGGGTTGAATGGAGCCATGGCTGACACTGACATGGGGCATACTCTAGTGTTCCCTGTATGGAGGGATGTCTCTGTATCAGCAACCAGGAGGCTTCCCTGAGTGTGGCAAAGCCAGGATTGTTTGGGAGCTCCCATGGCCTGTACTGTAATCAGCCCTTTTGACTCAGTGTGATTTTAATGAGACTTTGTCCCCCTGCTTTATTCTTGTCAACAACTGCATTATAGTGGATAACATAATCCTCTAAGAAACAAGGAGAGATTTGGTTTTGTGCAGTGCTTTTCTTCTAAAAATATTGTGACTGTTCAAAATGAGAGAGAAAGCAAAGCTCTGAGGAAGTGTCAAAGGCCTAGGACAGAAGGTGCAGCCAGAAGAATTAAAATGGTACAATGTGAAAGGAGATCAGAGATGGGACTGATGTGCCAAGATGAAATAGGACCTCATACAACCAGTTGTACCTCAACCTTCCCCTTAGTGACTCTGCATTTGGGCCTTTTTGCCCATGATCATTAGTTTATAGGAGAAGTGATGTTGGAAGGGACTTCTGTTCTCTAGTCTAACCTACTGCTCTAGAATGTCAGACCAGGTGGCTCAGGGCTTTAGCCAGTAATGTCTTGGGAACTTCCAATAATGTAGGCTGCATGGCTTCTCTGGGAAAGCTGCTCCATGGCTTCACTGCTCTCTGAAGGAGTTGCTGCATATATCTGGTCTAAAACTCTCCTGTTTCTCATTGTGCCAGTTATTTCTCATTTTCCTACTGTGAAGAGCCTGGCTCCATCTCTTTGATAACCTCAGAGTAGATACTGGCAGGCTGCTGTTATTTTCCCCCCCAAAATATCTCTTCTCCAGGCTGAAGAAACCACTTCTTACAGGGAAAGTGCTCCAGCTTCCAGCCTTTTTGGTGGCTTTCTGTACTCACTCCAGTTTATTCAAATCTGTCTTGTATTGGGGGGCCAAAAATTTCATGTGGCATCTAGATTGAGTCTAAATGATGAGTCTGGCTCAGCATTTCCTGTAAACTTGACAGATATGCTGATGTAAATAAGTTGTGTGATTCAACTAAGAGTTTAGACCATCCAAATGTTCCTTCCACTAAGGATATGAAACATGTCTGAAGGTCAAATCAAAAGTGTACCTAATGTCCCTGTCATCGTATCTCTCCTTTGCACCTTTGTGAGATGAATTATAAAATCTGCATCCCTCATTTCCTATTATTTTGTATTTGTTGGCTGCACTGCTGTAAATCAACTAATTGTTAACTACTTTTCCCTAATGATGGTTCTTGTTGTGTTTTTTGCAGGTTACATATCACAGGTGCTAAAGAATTACACTGACCATGCCTGTGATGGAGAATATGTGTCCCTGAGATGTCCCCACAGAACCACCATCAGCATCCAGTCTTCTTTTTATGGCCGAATTGTACCAAGTCATCAGCTGTGTCCTTCTCGCTATCCCCACTCCTATGCAACTTTAATTAAAGAAGATGTTGCCTGCTCAGTTGGCACTTCTCTTCAGGTATTGTTAAAATGCATTTCTTAATTTTGAACTTCACCTTTCCTTGGTCAGGCAGCTGCTCTCAGTGTTGGTACAGCACAGACCTGCCTTAAGCAGGGCTACCCAGCATTGGAGCTTTGATATCTCACACAGCTTAGTGGATAATTCATCCTTGTAGTTTAGACAGGACTGAATTAGATTTTGATAGTGAATTTCTTAGTTTTCCTGCAACACTAGTCAGTAACAGTTCAGGAATGTGGTTGAAGGAGAATTACACTTCAGGACTGCATTATGTTTGACTGGGTTGAAGAGCATTATTTTTATAGTTTTCCTTCCCAATTACTAGCTTTTTCAACACATTCAGAAATTGCTGTAGCATTCTTTTTACTTTAGATACTATTTCAAGAGGCTTTTACTTTGGTAACTTGAAACCCAAAAAGAATCCTTGGCTTTGCTTTTTGTGACTCATTTGGCTCTTAGGCCACTGTAAGTGGTCATACATCACTTAACTTGTAACATCCCCCAGTAGTTAATCAGCTCTGACCATCTGTGTAGGGAAAGTTGTCTCTGTGTATTGTCCCAAGAGCACGTGTGACGTCAGCAAATCAAAGGATTACTTGGAAGGTGCCAGTGTTACTCAACTGTCAGTAGGAGCAACTAAAATTAGAAACATGAGTTGGCTGATGTTGTTGAGATGAATAGGGTCTGCTCCTGGGTATTGGAGCAAGCACAAGTTTTTCCAAGTGCCAGATTTGGGACTGTGAAAACTTTTGGGCAAAGCTCTCAGTCATCCAGTGTGTTTATGGCTTAGAATCAATAATAACTCATAATAAAAAAATTATAGCAGACTAGATTAATGAACCTACAGGGTTAGTGAGTAATTTCTTTTATAATTTGGCTAAAGGCCAGAGTTTTCCACATCACTTCTCCCCCTTGCATCCAGGGTTTTTAAGAGAAATTTACAGCATTTTTTAAAAAGTTGATGTGGGTGCTTTGGCTTCCAAATGCCAGTGGTAAGTTCTCAAGAATTTGCACAAGGTTGGTGTTTGGCTGTAGTGTAACCCTTCAGCTGACAAATTTGAAGTTGCATTCCTGACACTACCACTGCTCAGCGAAGGACTGGGCTGTAGTATGGGAGGACGTGGTCCTTATCAGTGGAAGGTTTTCCCAGATATGATAACAAAAGTTCATAATGAAACAGGCAGTTGTGTTGTTTAGGGTGGGAGAACACAGAGAGAAAGCTTTGGCAGAGGCTAGCCTTCCCTTCTTTTATTGATTTACTGAAAAATTTACTTGCAACATTTCATTTACCAAGGTGATTGATAGCTATGAGCATCGCCTGAACCCTTGTGGGTGAATGGCCCACTTAAGGCATCTGGAAGAACTTGAGAAGAGGGAAGATATTACCCTAGGGTTTCCATTTCATGATTTTATGTGTAGGAGGGATTGAAAATAAATCCTTACCTGCCTCTCTTAGCTTTTTATGTCCTCAGACCTGTTCCCCATTAGCTTTGCCTTCAATACTTTGCCTTCAATACTTAGGTGGCTTGTAATTCCCAATCCTTGTTTATCAGAGTGAGAATTGTGTTCCCTGTAGGTAGTCCTGCAGCAGATCCCTTGTGCAGTACATTTCTTACATGACTGTGACCAAAACACTGTTATTAACCCATTTTGGGGGATGCAGATGTGCTGGGAAAGCAGCTGACATTCTCTCTTCTGCCACAAATTTCTTGGGAGACCTTTAGCAAGTTCCTGAGCCTCTTTTGAGGAGACTCACAGCCTCTTTGGTGCCTCCAGATGTGGCTTTGATTCTTCCCTGTCTTGTGGTTGCCCAGGGTAGGATGAGTCCAAATGCCAGAGATGAATCTCATCTTCTCTCTCAGTTCTGGAGGGGGTGAGGCCTCTCTGAGGGGTAAGCCAGGAACTCCACAAGCTGAATGGCAAGCTGCCTGCAGCTCACTGGTAGGAAATACATGTGTGTAGGAAAATTGGAAAGCTGTAGACAAGGAAATTGCGTGTATTTTTGTGGTTTTGCAACTCAGATATATGGCTGCTACAGGCAGGACCAATTGTGTGTATATTCTGCTTGTCAGTAATTGAAAAAGTCAGCCAAACCAAACCCTTCATAACTAAGTATATAAAATCACTGTGTCTAATCAAACCCATGACTGTATAAATTTGCTGCTTCTCTGGAGAGTGGTCTGGAGGGAGTGAGGAGCATTTATTAACTGTGCCCTGCAAACACTAGCTGTGCATGTAAACTCCCTTTTACAATCTCTCTCCACTGTAAATGTCCAGTTCAGATATTGTTTCTATGTTAAAAAGGGAAAAGAAGGAGTTGATTACACTGAGAGAACCACTACTAATTCAGCTTTATGTGACTGGCTGCCAGGATTCCGTGCTTTAGTCACTTGTTTTGTTTGCAGACCACCTGGGAGAGTGTGTATGAGACATTAGGGCAGTGACCCAGTGACCCCAGACTACACATTTCTGTTGTTCTAACACTGTAATGTCAGATTCAGTGGGAGCTTTCCAAATGCACAAAGAATTTGGACATTCATAGAATCATCACAGATTCATAGAATGGTCTGAGTTGGAAGGGATCCTAAAGATTGTCTTGTTCTAACCCCCTGCCATGTGCAGGGAGACCTTCCACTAGATCAGGTTGCCCAAAGCCCCATCCAATCTGGCCTTGAACACTTCCAGGGATGGGACAGCCAGAACTGGGAAGTCTGTTCCAATGCCTCACCACACTCTGAGTAAAGAATTTCTTAGTATCTAATCTAAATTTACCCTTCTTCACCTCAAGGCTTTTCCCCCTTGTTGTATGACTCCACTCTCTTCTTGTAAGCCTCTTGTAAGCCCCCTTTATGTACTGGAAGGCTGAATTCTGGATCAGTATTTCTGATGCTGCTTGTTTTCAGCAATGAAACACTTGAGGTTTGTATGGAAGAATGTGTAATGGTTGGCTAAAATTATTGCTTATTACCAGAAAACTCTATTACACTTTACAGCTGATTATCTGCAATTTTCTCATTTTGATAAATTGGCAGAAAATAAAACCACAGCTTATTTGTAAGGAAAACAGAAAACCCTGGAGAGCCACTTAATTTGTTGTGCTTCTGCCCCCTGATATTTACCAAAGACATTGAGGGCCAACTTATCTCTTCATTTGCACAGGTACTGAAATCAGCAGATAGATGCTCTTCCAAGGGCAATATTTTGCCGTGTCACTTGTGTTCCCAAGAGGAGCTGTGCTTAGAAGGTGCTCTGGAGCTGAATCCCAACTCTCCTTAGAAAGACTAGCTAAGCTAGGGAGGGCCTGTGGGCATGGCCTGTGCCCTGGGTCTCTTTCAACACTCTCCAGGACAAGCAGTCCTTGGTGACAAGGATCACTAGTGCTGCTGATGTGGTATTTCCTTTTGTCCTTTGGGTGAGAGACAGGACACCTTTGCTGCCACCATCTCCTGCTGTTGCTTCAGCAGCCCTGCAAAAAGGAGCAGATTCCTTGCATGCTGAGCCCAGGATTCCCTGAACTCTTCCTCCCCTTTTTTTTTTTTTTTATTTTCATCCACCAGGAAGGTTTCTGTGAAACAAAAAAAAAACCCACAAAAAAACCCCAAAACCCCAAAAAACTAAAACTAAAACAAACAAACAAAAAACCCCAAACAAACAAACAAACAAACAAAACCCCCCAAAAAACAACAACAAAAAAGAAGCAAAAGGGAGCTACCTCTTTGCTGATGGAAAGATGAGACAAACTTTCCAGAAATGGCTCTCAAAGCACAGGCCAGCTGTTGATCACAAGAAGAGAGGGCTGGTGTTGCTGTTTCCAGAGTGGATTTTGTTTTCCCCAGTTATTCTGGATTAAAAGTGTAATACCAACTAAAAGGAAACATTCCCAACTGCCCCAGCTTTCTTGGCAGGCCAAGGACAATGGCTCCTGACATGTCCAGTCACCAGATATCGCATGGTCCCACTGATGTCACAGCCCTAAGTGACCTCAACAGGAATGAAAAAGGGCCCTTTCTCATGACTTTGAACATCTAGAAGATGATGATGGTCAGGGGGAAAGAAGGAAGAAATTGGTAGAAAGGAAGAATAATGGTCATCATCTGGGAGGAGAACCCATTGTTATATTGAATATTAGAGCTCCACAGTTTCTAGGCATTTTGAACAAGGAAGGTTTCAGTCTCAAAAATGTCAGTGAACTAAAGAGCAGTGTGAGAAACTCTTTTTCAGACCACATTAATTACTTTGCAGAGAATGGTGAGCAGTGAGCTCAGGGTCCAGAAGAGTTTTCTGCACTGTCAAAATTGCAGTTAAAAATCACAGAACTAGTGCTGTTTCATTCATGAATCTTGCCTAAGCTGAAATAGAACTCTCTGGCAAGTGGCTCCTCCAGCTAGTTATTTGCAAGTAGAACTGTTGGATGCAGAGGTCACAGACAATCTCTAAATTGCTGTGTCTGTGAAATCTTTGGCATGACTGAAGTAGCTCATCAGAGCAGAGTGATTATGTCCTGCAGGAGAAGAGGCACTGGAGGCAGAGGTGGCCAGTGCAGCCTGTCTCCCTGATGAGGCAGGACTGCTCCCCAGGGTGTAAGCCTCCTAATGCTTTGTTTACTCTAAATTTAAACTTTCCAAGTCATGGGGCTTCCATCATTGCCACTAAGACCCTGCTTGACAGTGTAATGGTTTGCTCCCCGGGCTTTTTTTTTTTCCACTTTGTGTTTTAAGCTTTCCCTTTCTTTAATCCCATGACTTTTGGTTATGCATCCTTTTGTATTTCTTCAGCTTAGACCTCCTCTCCCTTTGAAGTTGACCCTGCATACAGATTAAGTTTCCTACTGTTAGGAAATGTAGGTAATGTTAATTAGGTGATATTTGTAATGCAGCTTTTATCAGGCCCTTCTATTTGGTGAATGTGTTGCTGCTCTTTGTGAATTGCTGTTTCTGGGCTCTTTCAAGGCCCTGCCAGAGGAGCACTGGTGAATCCTGCTGGTGTTTTAACATCCCCGT